TCTCTCCTGTATTCCAGTTACACATATGTCACTGTTTAAAGTTGTCCCAGAGTTCACTGATGCTCTATTTATTCTGTAGTTTTTTTCCCTCTATTTCATTTCGGACAGTTCTGCTGCTAGGTTTTCAGGTTCACTACCTTTTCTTTGGCAATGTCTGACCTGCTATTAATGGTCTTAACTGACTGTTAAGGTTTTTTATTATTATTATTATTATTATTATTATTATTATTAAATCAAAGACTGTTGATTTTGTCAACAGGACCAAGCCTATTGTCCGAGTCTCCTTTTATGTCTTTCATGCCTCCACTGAACTTGACCAGCCTTTCCTCTGGTTTCCTGAATATGAGATCTTCCCTTATAGCAGTGATTTTTAATGCTTTTGTTTACTAATTTTATCATCGGTGTCACTTCAGAACCCGTTTCAATGAATTGGTTTTTCTTCTCATTATGAGTCATATTTTTCTGCTTCTTTTCAATTAGATGCCAGACACTGAATTTTATCTTGGTGGGTGCAGGGCATTTTTAGGTTCCTAAAAATATTCTTGAGCTTTGTTTTGACATGTCATTAAAGTACCCAGAAACAGTTTGCTGTCTTCAGGTCTCATGCTCAAGGTTCGTTACACCGGGCTAAAAGAGGTTTCAGTCTGGAGTTCATTTTGCCCACTACCAAGGCAAGTCCCTTCTGAGTAACTAATGCCTCATGAAGTATGGGGTTTTCTGTCCTGGCTTTGGGGAATAGGTACTATGCCCCGTTGTCTGTGGTCTCTCGTCACTGTTCTTTCTCATCTTGTCCCATCCTTGGATAGTTTCCCCAGTCCCATGTATTGATGAGTATTGATCTAAATGCTGGAGAGAAAATTATTTTGGCCTCCCTTCACTCCAGCCCCCAGCACCCCACCTCAGGGGACCTTAGGGCCCTGCCTGAGGTCGTCACAGGGCTCACCTGGTTTGTTTCCTGTATCTCACTGCCTGCATTTCCTTGTGCCCAATGTCTTGAGAGCCCTTTTCCCCATATATTTGATGCAGTTATTTATTCATTTTTAAATTTATTATGGTTATATTGGTTAATAAAATTATATAGCTTTCCAGTGTACAATTCTATGATACATCATCTGTATATTGTATTGTGCGTTCATCACCCCAGGTCAAGTCTCCTTTCATCACCATTTATTCTTCCTTTACCATTTTCTACCTTCCCCCACCCCCTTTCCCCTCTGGCAATCACCATACGGTTGTCTGTGTCTGTGAGTTTTGGGGGGCTATTATGTAATCCCTTCACCCCAATCCCCAACTCCCCTCCCCTCCCCTCGGACAGCTGTCAGTCTGTTCTCTGTATCTATGAGTCTGTTTCTATTTTGTTTATTTATTTTGTTCACTAGATGCCACATATAAGTGAAATCATATAGTACTTGTCCTGTAAGTGGCATATTTAACTTAGCATAATACCCTCTAGATCCATCCATGCTGTCACAAAAGGTAAGATATCCTTCTTTTTCTATAGCCAAGTAGTATTCCATTGTGTAAATGTACCACAGCTTTTTTATCCACTCATCTAATGACGGGCACTTGGGCTGCCCATAGCCAAATCTTGGCTATTGTAAGTAACACTGCAATGAACATTGGGGTGCATATATTCTTTTGAATGTGTGTTTTGGGTTTTTCTGATATATTCTCAGAATTGAAATCACTGGGTCAGAAGGCAGCTCCATTTTTAACCTTTTGAGGAAACTCCATACTGCTTTCCACAGTGGCTGCACCAGTCTACACTCCCACCAACAGTGCATTAGGGTTCCCTTTTCTCCACAACCTCACCAGCACTTGTTGTTTGTTGATTTATTAATGATGGCCATTCTGACTGGTATGAAGTGATATCTCATTGTGGTTTATATTTGCATTTCTCTCATGATGAGTGATATTGAGCACTTTTTCATATATCTATTGGCCATCTGTATGGTCTGTTGAGGGAAGTGTCCATTTAGGTCCTTTACCCATTTTTAATTATTTTTTGTTGTTGTTGTTAAGTTTTATAAGTTCTCTATAAATTTTGGATATTAACCCCTTATCAAATATATCTTTGGCAGATATATTCTCCCATTCAATGGGTTGTCTCTCATTTTGTTGGTTTGCTGTGCAAAAACTTTTTAGTTTGATGTAGTCCCATTTGTTGATTTCTTGTAGCAACATATATATATTTTTGATATAGCTCCTTGGACAAGAGAAACAAAAGAAAAAATCTAGTTTTTTAATTGGTTCAAGTAAAAGGTTAAATCTGTTCTCAGTTATTCCATGTTGACCGGAAGTGGAAATCACCGTGCCCTAGGCCTAACTTAAAAATTTTTTTGTTTAAATAGGAAGGAAAACAAATAGTCCTGGTACACACACTCCTAGTCGGAAATGCCAAGGCAGCCCGTTCAGCTCCTGTATACTTGTTTCCTGGCATTCCCCTCAGATTTTGTACCTCTCGCCGCCCCTCCTCTCAGGGAGGCCCTCTCTGACCACACTGTCTACAACGGCACCCTCGTCCAGCTCCAGCTCGTGACTTTTCTGTGTTGTTCTTTCTAGCTCCTTTCATTCCGTGACGTCCCCATATTTGTTCATAAGTTTGTAGTCGGCCTCGCTCCCTAGATAGGGTGTGTGCTCCATGAAGGCTGGGCACTTGCCTGTTTTGATCACTGTGGAATACTAACTCCTGGGCACATCGTAGGCCCTCCAGAAATATCTGTTAAAAAAAATCAAGGAATGAATGCCAGATACTGCTTGGAGGTCTCCAAACATCGCTCTGTGCTACCCCTACCTTGGAGGGAGATAACAGCTGTGAAGGTTTTTCCAGGAGCCCAAAGCAGGAGAAAGGTTTTCTAGGCAGCAGGAATAGCGCGTATCACAGATCTTTAAAAAAAAAAAAAAAAGTCTAGTGTGGAATTCAGGAATTCAGGGAAATAGGATTTATTAAATTGATTCCATTTTTGCTTCACATTGTCATAGAAATTCTGATTAACAAGCTTCCTTTCCAAGATGTTTTCCCAGAATTAAAAAGAAAAAAATAATAACCACGTTAGACATATTGTGCATTTTTTTAGATGGCAATATAAAAATATTAGAATTAAAATTGCCCACACTTTCCTCTGTGTGTGTGTGCATCCTCCCCTAATCCCCACAACTTTAGTGACTGTGACAAGTAGCTGTGGAACTTAGTAATGGAACCATCTGGTCAGTAGAAGAGGTGACATTCCGTGAGGCAGCCACCATGTCACATGTATTTCGCTGGCCTTCAGGAGGGGCACCTGGAGGGGTGACCTGGTGGGCTGAACCTTTCCAAGTCTTCAGCTTTCTCCTTCTCTGGGTCCTGCAGCAAACACACCAATTAAAGGGGTGGTTTTGTGATGAAGCCTCAAGGAACTGGGTGGACTCAGAACATAACTTCTTTATTTCACGCAGTGCAGCAGATGGAAATGACTCTCATCGCTTCCCCATTGTCCTGATTTAAATCTGGGACCTGACACTGGACAGGAGGCTCTGCATCCTGTTAACGGAGCCCCCAAGTTGGAGCCGTGCGCCTTTCCTCTGTGCTCTCAGTGCGTCTTCTTGGCTCTGATCCTGGCAGGGCCTTTGGAGAAGAGAAGTTTTCTTTAGTGAACTAACAACCACTTGTTTTCTAAGAAATGTAGGTGTATCTTAGAGTTTGAAGCCTAGGTGTATATTTTTAGAAGAAAATATTTTCACCAATTCACCAAAGTATTTTAGGGAGATTACTTGAAAAACCAAATGTTATACTAAAATATTAATTAGGATAGGCAAAGATTTACCACTTAGTTAATAAAAGTAGGTTTTGTAAACTAAGCCATGCTATAGGAAATTTGGGTTCTGACTAGAAGGAGCACAGAAATACAAACACATTTTGCTTGATGACATAATTTCTAGCCATCCAAAAAAAAGGCGTATTTACATAGCAGAAATATGGAGCCGTACCAGACCGGGTTTATAATGACAGCGCATGGCCTTGTATGGCACATGCTAAATTCTTCTTAAGGATGGAGCAGGCTTGCTCTGAACGCTCCTCGGTTTCAGATGAACTCAACTTTAGCTTTGTTGTGTGTTTTTCAGAAGGGCAGCTAAAACAGGAAATTCGGCTGACTAAGTTATTGAACACTACTTCCTCCTGTCTGAGTTGACAGACTCTCACCCACAAAACAGGAGCCAATGACGAACTCTTGAAAACAACAGAGCCCCTTCTCTTTGGTTCCCCCTCAGCATCCTTTCCCCACCCCACCTTAAGGCGGCATTTTCCTGAGCATTTCACAATATTTTTCATCCCTTGTTCCCAGACTTGACCCACTGACCTGAGAATCAAGAAAATGTCATGTTAGTGCCTACTAATTAATGCACACAGAGAGCCTTTTCATCTGGCCTTTCAACCTCCTGGAGGCAGGAGCACAAGCTGTCACTCGCATCATGCGGGGAAAATGAACCTTTACCACATTTTCCTTGTTTTGCAAACAGCACAATAAGCCCAGCTGAGACTAGAGATGAATATGTAGGTTAGGGAGAAATTAACCTAAAATGCACGGTCGTCTGCATGGTTGTCTGCCAGATGACACCGCAGCGCAGTGATTGAAACAGCCGTCGCGGCGTGTCGCGGGTCTGTGATTTTTACCACTCTTGCTGTGTAAACATTTCTATTTCAATACCATCGTCTGTGTTTGGTGAAATAATGTGAAGGGAAGAACATCCTGGGATTAAAAAGTTAAGGTACATGTTAAGGCATTTAGGTTTGCATTGTTTCTAGACACGTTTACGGGGGATACTGCAGTTTGTTAGTGAGCATTCGGCTCCAGTGCTCATTAATCAGTGCTGCTGGGCCCAGGGTCTCTTGAGCCTTCTGGGTTTTGGGGGATCAGCTACTGTAATTAAAGGGATGAAATATATCATGGTCACAAACTTAGCACATCAGACAATTGAAGGTTTCGAACTGGTGGAATTAATCTTTTTAATTTTTTTCCTAGGTGTTTAAGATAGAAGTGCTAATGAATGGAAGAAAACATTTTGTTGAGAAAAGGTACAGCGAATTTCACGCTTTGCACAAAAAGGTAACTCCCCCCACCCCCTGCTGCCTTTTTCTCTATTTGGCAAATGGTATAACATTAAGACTGCTTTTTGGGGCTCCCAAATAGTTCTTGGAACAGTGTGACTTCTTTTATCATGATATAAATTTCCTTTTAAAAGGCATTATTTAGTTCTTTACAGGTGCTTTCTGAGCAGGTGGATCTTCTGGTAAACGGATGTGAGCTGGCAAAGGCAAGCCGTTGGCAGCCTGCCCTGCTGGGGATGGTGGGCTCAGAAGGTGTAAGAATCAGACCTGTTTTCTCGGTAAAATACACCTACATAATGGGCTTTACAAAAAGGAAAAGAAGAAAGGAAAATGATTATTTTACTTCATAGGGAGAAATTTATTAAAATCAACTCATACTTACATATACCCAGAAAAGAAAATACTCATGTCACATATAAAGGGCCGTTTGGGCAACATGTGAAAAAGAGGTTCCTGCCTTTCGTTGGATTATAAATGCCACTTGCTAGGACTGGTGTTTCATTAAAAGTCTCAGATAAAAGACAAGAATGAAAAAGGAATAGCTGAGTTTTCGGAGAAATGGACTGTAAAATGTAGAAGAGTAAATACTTTCTTATTTTGTACCCCAAGTTTAATGTTTTGCAGATTATAAATGATCATTGGGGTGCTGAAATTATCTTATTCCTTGAAATACCTCATGAAATTGCTCAGAAAATCAGTATCTATGAGTTATTACAACTTTATCACTCTTCTTTAATAACATATACATGTTCATATGTGTATATGTTTTTGTATATGTGTGTATGTATACACATATGTAAAATGTATGACATAATTTAATTTCCTCACTTTTGTTAGTTAGATAAAAACTTAGATGGGAAGGTAATAAGTATTTGAAGAAAGGGTCTATTCTTTTAATTTCATCAAACACATCTTAAATTCCCTGGGAAATGTCAGTGTATAAATAATGTAAAAATGTGCTTACTCTGTATTAAAAGTTCTTTAGCATTTTTTAAAATGGAATTTTCCCACTTTTTTTAGGTAGGAGAGTATAGAGTTCTGAGAAAAAAACTTTAATAAGCTATTCTTGAGAAATTAGGGAGACTGTTTCTCTCTGTTTTCTTTTGAAGAGGAGCTCTAAGTTACCTGTATACTTTTCTGTTGGGATTAAAATTTGCCTCCAAAAGAAATAACACAGGTGAGCACAGGTGTGGGCCTGGTGCTGCTCACCAGCTTTACCAAACCTTCAACCCAGAGGCTTCCAAGGGAAACAAGCCTGGAATGGGTTTCATTTCCTTCCCAGGAAATTCTGTTTTGTTTACTGTTTTTCAAGGAAACAGATCCTAGAGAGATTTCCAGTAGGTACCTTATGAAAGAAGTCCTTGCAGTGAGATGAAACCAGAACTCCAGCCTCTGGGGACCAGAGTCTGGACTCCCTCTGAACTGCCCAGTCAGCGCCCAGCTCTCCGTGACCCCAGCACAGCCCAGCTGTCCTTGCCTGGTACTCGGGGACCCGCTCCACACCGGGCACAGCTGGGCGACTGCCAATTAGGCCCATCCTGGAGTGGAGGGTCGTTCACCCTGTTCTCCTCTCATACAATTTCTTTCCTTCTGCAGAAGAGGACCCTCTCCCCAGTGATTACAGGCAGTTCTTAGATACTCACAGTCCGGGAAAAAAACCCAGATTTTGTAGGACTTATCTCAGTTTCTGCAATTCTGTTAATAATTTTAGCTATTCTTATATTATCAGGCCAACCAGAGTTAAGGGAATAGAAATTCTCCACTCTCTCACTTTTGCATTTTTTCTTGCATTTGTTAGTAAACCAAATGCTGCTGCGTGAACCGTGTTCCCGCGTGGTGGTAACGGTGGTGTGGAATTGAAGGGTGCAAGCTCTGGAAACCGATGTTTCTGAGCCTGCCCTCACCTCTCCCAGCTCTTTAAGTCTTTGGAAGAAGGCACATGATCTTTCAGTGCCTCCCGTTCCCCATTTTCACTATGGGAATCATTAGAGTTGGTAACTTCATTGAATTGTTATACAGACTAAATTAAATCATGTATATCACATGGTAAACTTCCAATAATTGATAGCCTTCATTACAGATAATTTTTTCCCCACATTCAAGAGTGTTTCCTACAGCTAGATTACTAAAAGAAGCATTTTCTGTCAAAATGTATGGGTATTTTTACAGCTCCTGATATGTATTGCCAAATTACTTTCTTTCAAAAATGGTTATAGAGGATTTATAATGCAACCAGCAAGTATGAAAGTACCATAGAATCTCATCAACTTTGAATACTCCCCCTGAAATGGTATTTGTTTATTTAGCATGCAGTCTGTGTTGCCTTGTTGCTACTTTAATTGGTGTTTCTTATGGTTTGTTTATGGTTCTTGTCCTTCTTTTTGGAATTCTATTTACTTGCTCTCCCATTTATCTGCAGGGGTCTCAGTTGGTTTTGCTCATTAGTTTGTGTGGCCTGTTAATAAAATATTAGCCATTTGCTGAAAGTATTTTTCACCAAGGACCCTTTTATTTTGGCTATGATATTTATTTTAATTTACAAATGTTTTAAATTTTTATGTCGTCTAATATGTCAATTTTTACCCCTTCAGATTTTACATAAGAGTAGTTGTTTCTTCCCGAGCTATAATGAGTGTTTCATTCCATTTCCTTTGATTTTTTTCTTGATTGGTGTTTTAAGAAGTGTGAACTCCGAATCACCTGCATCAGAACAGTGTTCACGAAGGGCATCAGACTGTGTGGCTGCGGCCAGTGCTGTGCTTGTTAAACCAGCATTCCGGGTCGTCTTCATGCCTGCTGGCATCTGAGAGCTCCTCAAGCATGGTGATATTTTTAAGGTTTCTCTTAGACACAACCCTCGCATCCTCCCCCCATCGCGTGCACGGAAGCCACAAAGTGTGACACCTTGGAGGTCTTTCCTACCTTTCTTTCACCTTCCGTGTCCAGAGTGTCATCAAGTCCTGTTGACTTGTTCTTCCAGATTTCTGTCATAGGTACCATTGCATACCATCCCAATACAGAGTCTTACTACTTTATGTTAAGTATTTCTTTACTATTTGGATCCTTGTCTTCTTTTTCATTTTTTCTCAGCAGATTACTTTTCCTGAAACACGGTCTTTGTCTTCATTCCTTTGTTCAGCTGTGTTGAAGTGGGTCTGTGCTGTCTTCCAAATTGTGGACAGTGACTCTTGAGGCCAATAATCTTAAACCCTTTACAGTGTCCTTTTGCTGTGGCAATAAATCACCAGACACTTTGCTTTAAAAAAACACACATTTATCATCTCACTCTAAATGTGTCAGCAGGGCTCTGTTCCTTGTTTCTTTGGTGTGTCCAGCTTCTAGAGACTGTCTGCATTCCTTGGCTCATGGCCCCTTCTCATCTTCAAAGCCATCTTAGTCACTCCAACTGCTTCCATCATGACATCTCCTCTCTCTGACTTTGACACTTCTGCCTCCCGTTGAGATTACTTGGACCTACCTGGATGATCCAGGATAATCTTCCCATCTCACAATGTTTGATTTAATCACACCTGCAAAGTGCCTTTTGCCATTGAAGGTAATGCATTCACAGGTTCCAAGGATTAGGATATAGACATCTTTAGGGGGGACCTCACAAACCCCTTTACAGGCCAGTCTTATTTCCATCTGTATCACCTAAGAAAACATCAATGGCAGCCAAGCCCATCTCCTCCTGTCCCCCTGTATGTGAAAATCACTGCCTCCCTGTCTTTGCCATGCTGGATGTCTTGCCCTTTGTGTTCACATCTGTTCACACCAAACTAAAACATTTCGGGTTCTCCTTCTTTCCTGTTTCATTTACTCCCTAATCTTTTTGTTCTTGGACTTTTGTTCCATTTAGAATAGAAATTTCCACTTAAATTAAAAACATCTCAGAGATGATTAAAACTTAGTTGTCCCTAAGTTTTTCCATCTAAAATGTACATCTTTAAAACATAGGGCTCACGTCTCATCTTTTGCATTTTCCTCACTGCCTATTAGTGTTGGGCACATATTAGGCATTAACAAATATGTGGCAAATGGGGTATTTGTTAATCAGCTTAGCAATACCCACAGCTTTCAGACCAACTAGCAAATGGGATATTTGGAGAATATCATGTATGTGAGGTCTGTCTGGAAAAAGTCCAGCCATTGTTAATATAATGAGAATGGTTTATGTGATGCTGATATGACCTGGCAGCCAAGGAACGTGGACTGGAATGCACATGTGTGAACAATGATGACTTCACTGTGCTAGTCAGTGGGGGCAGTAGATGCTGTTGAGAGAGCATGTGTACTGTGTGGCCCTCATATTCAAAATGATTGAATGGGTTGAGCAGTGAATCTGCATCAGATTTTGCACTAAGCTTGAACATTCCTCTGTGGAAGCTATTTGGATGATTCAGAAGGCCACAGCTACGGGCAACTGGTGATTGGCAGCTTCATCACCACAATGTATCTGTTCATGCGTCACGTCTCGTGCAGAGATTTTTGGCGAAACATCAGATCACCCAGGTGACTCAGCACCCCTACAGCCTAGATTTGGTGTCCTGGACTTCTGGCTTTTCCCAAAAGTAAAACCACCTTTGAAAGGGAAGAGATTTTAGACCCTCAGTGAGATTTGGGAAAATACTAGAGGGCAGCTCATGGCGATAGGGAGAACTGTGTGGGGTCCTGAGGTGCCTACTTTGAAGGGGACTGAGGTGTCATTGTCCTGTGTACAATGTTATTGTATCTTCGTCTCTTCTTCAGTAGATGTCTGTATTTTTCATATGACATGGCTGGATACGTCCTGGATAGACTTCATATTTATGAATGTCTAGAGCAGTGTTTTGTTGACAAGATTAATTTTTACTCTAGGAGTTTAGTTCATTGCCACTTTAATCCCAGGTTATACGTGTGCCTCCCTTGCAGCTCTGCTGGTTAAGATGGGAAGACACCACCACACCAACACCAAAACAACCCCTGCTCCAGTCTTCTCTGTTCACATTTAGCATTGTA